AGCGGGGAATCATGCTATTTGCATCTATGGATGCGAATAGCTGACGGCATGTATTGGAGGAGAGAAGTCTATGTCTCCTACTGTGGACAATTAACGGCTAAAATGATGAGTGATGAAATCTTATGTCCAGTGGGACAGAAATAATAAAATAGATACGAGCCTACTATGTTGAATTCTAAGATTAAATTCGACTGTAAATATTATATTATTTTAAAGAACAATAATATTTAAGAAAGTACTTTAATTACAATAGTAACATATTCTTTTCATTTTACTTAGAGAACGTTTTACATTAACAATAATAGCAAAATAAATAAAATATATGTATCTCATACAGTTAATAATACTAATTTTGAATTACTCGTCAAAACAGGTGGAGAAGTTGCTGTTACAGAATCTCAAGTACTCATTGAAGAGAAATCTACAGATTCTGTCTTAGAAGCATCTGTAAATGTTAATGCACAACCAGACATTCAAGGAAAATCTATTAATATTGAAATCGAGACTGCCATTGCAAACACAGAAGATGCAGTCCAAACAGGAGTTGATGCTACAGAACGTGGTGTAGTTATACAAGAGACAGGAGTCGTTAGCAGTGGAGTGATTGATGCTGTAGAGGGAAGAATAGAACAAGAAGTTAAGACTGTTGTTGAAGGAGTGAAGAATATAGAAGAAGCTATTATTAATATTAAAAATGAAGAATCACTGCAAACGGTAATTAATAAATTATTTTATTTATATGAAATGAATTTTTAAAATAGAATTATCTACTTTATTAATTTATCTTAACAATTAAATGTTTATATATTAATTAATTAAATTTTTTAATACTTTTTTCATACAGAATAGTGTGCAAGATGCAGTTGGCGTAAGGAATGTTATAGATAACTCTGGGTAAGTTATGGGTTAATACCATTTTTATTAGACGAAAATAAATTAATTTATTTTTGATATATTTTACTGAACAGAGACTTTGTACTAATGTCGTCTGGATACCTCTGTCCCACTCATATTCCTGCCGTGAAACAGCAATTTCGGTTTGAAAGGTGGCAGTGAAATTATGGGGTGCGGAGGAATAACATCTTAATCTTCAGGAATGGAAACGCACGAGGGGTACCATGGGCATAATTATGTATTTTGTAATGTCCATGGTATTGTTGGGTCGTCAGCTTGTTTACCATTCTAAATAGCATAAAAGAGTATGTAATTAAATTTTAATTTTCCTTGTTTCAGTTCCTTGGCTCAGGCTCCTGAAGGATTTTTAGAATACGGACCGCCTGGTTTCAGAGAGTATGGCCCACCGAAAGAAGATATCGTTCCCCTGTCTGCAGCAGTAGAGGTTAGTTCAAAGTTGATATACAGAATAGATACTGAATTAATATTATGTATTGTTACACTCTAAAAACAGTATAGGACGACCCCCCACTAGATGGAGTGACGACCTCAAATAAATTGCAAGGGGTCAGTGGATGCAGGTAGTTCTGAACTGTTCCTTATGGGGGAAGCCTATGTTCAGCAGTGGACAGATAATGGCTGAGATAATGATGATTGTCTATATTAAATGTCTGCTTATTGGAAACCTATATAGGAATTAATTTTATATTCAATCAACAATATTACTCATTTATGAGTAATTTTTCAACATAACATTGTTTATATTGCCTAAAAATTGAGTACAAAGTAATTTTGAATTACTTTAACATTTTCACAGTTCAAAAGAGTTTTCACACATATATTTTAAATATTTAATAGTAATTTAGTAAAAGGAACTAAGTAAATGTAGGACTTTACTATGTAGTTTATACCAAGTTTTACTTTAATTTGTACAGGGCAAACCATCAGCAAATCAAATTGAGAGCAACGAAACAAGAAGAAGACGTTTTTCACCAAAATTGAGGTAAAAAAATTTATAATAACTAGAAGGCCTACCATGAAGTATTTTTCGAAATTATGAGTTTCGAAACACAAATTTGATGTTAAAATTACATAATACATACCATTTAAAGATATAAAAAAAAATTAAAATATTATTCCTTTGAACTGTTGTGGTGGGATTTATAACGAACGGAATGATCAGCTCCATTTACTGGGCTGATTTCGGTATGAACGAAAGGTCCGAAAATTCGGCATTTCATTTCACGGTAGACCCCAAGATTATAATTTAAAGTTTATCTCATATAAGTGAAACTGTTGTACAATTTTCACATAAATTTATTATATTTCAGGACCGCTAGGAAACATTAAAAAGAAGTTTGTCCTGGACGAAAATCTGCGAATGGCGACATGGAAATTGTGATATACCTGCTAAATAATTAAATAATAATTGTGCACATAAATATTTACGTTTATTTACGAAAATAAATTGCAATAAATGAGAGTACTTATAAACACAATGTTTTTTTTTATTGGACTCTTAGATTATATAGATAAAGCATCGAATCTCAAAAACTGATCAACTGTTTGCTAATTGTTAAATTAGCTTACTCGTTTTTTTTATCAGTTTTCTCTAAGAACAATATATAAATCTTTTATATACTTACGCATAAAATGTATCTTGACGTGTACATGTATTATTAAATAAATAAAATGAGTATTCATGCATTAAAAAGATAGAGAATCTATAAGCTAAATTAAATATAGACGTTATAAATTACTTTTAACTTATTTATCACGCAAAATTGTACGAAAAAGTTGACCCATTTTTCTTGAAGCATTTCTATGGAGATGTTCTATCTACATAATCTAAGATTAGACTCTAGCTCGGATCTGTGTGCTTACTCTCGAAACGTTTACGCGAAGCACATTCCATTAAACGACATACTTCTGCTGTATCAAATCGCAGCTCAAGTTTGTAACAGCAAGTAAACACAAGTGTGCATCAGAAATATAAATAAGAAAATCAGCGAAACAAATAAAATAAAAAAAAAAACTATCGAAACGCAATTCCAATTCCAACGTAAAAACGTCAAATGGTACTCTTGAAAGCGACAACAGCGCCACATTGAGTTTTTTTTTTTAATGGGTGATAATGGAATGGTAACCCAACCCACGCTATCGGTATACACCGGCGGGGCACCAGAGAAGGATGATAGGTGAGCATGAAGCAGGTCAGTTAGCTCATCGTGACGAATTCAATAAGAATTGTTCACTATGGTTTCCAGGGGGAACCACGTGGAGGTCGACCTAATAGGGCTAGCAATGGGGCTGTCAAACTCCATTGCTAACAATCCCTTTCCCCCCTCGCCACATTGGGTTGAAATTGCGTGAACTAAATGATATTGAGAATTGTATGCCTCGCGTTAGATTATAATAAATAATTAATCTGTGTATATGTTTAATCTATAGTGTACACTGGCTCTTTTATCTATGTCCCTCACTTCCTCTCTTTTTCACGTGCCATTATTGCTGCCGTATGCATCTCTGTATTAATTTTAGCTTAAGACAAAGCCTCAATAAGACAAAGCCGTCACTATTATTTAAACTTCAAGTTCTTTCTGCAATTACTGTTATTACCTGCTTTAATTATGAGACAGTAAAATAAGAAATACACGAGACCTCATAATTAACAGTCTCCATTAGATTATTAGATAGGTAATTTTTTTTTATTGGGTGAAAATGGTATAGTAACCCCGCCTGTGCTAACGGGGTACGCTGGCGGAGCACCAGTGAAGGGTGATCGATGAGAATGAAAACAGGCCAGTTAGCCTATCATGATGAATTCATCAGGAATTAATCATGATAGTTTCCAGGGGGAACCGCGTGGAGGTCGACCTGGTTGGGTATATTGCTAGCAATGGGATTTTTGGTCTCCATTACTAACAATACCTTTCCCCCCTATTAGATAGGTTAAATCGGATGAAATCAAAATATAATTCTTGATGCTTCACTAAATATTACTGAATTAATTTTGAGAGCTAGCAACCATGGATATTTCGTAAATAAAAATTGTATTCAATTATGCATTTATTTGTCTTGTACACGTGAACGCCTGTTGCTCATGTACTGCAAAGTTTATTTAACACATAATTGATGATTGTGTCCCAAAAATACGCGGTTGTTTCACTAACTACTAAAAACTGGGGGGAAACGGATTGTTAGAAATGGAGACTAAGAATCCCGTTACTAGCAATATACTCAACCAGGTCGACCTCCTCGTGGTTCCCCCGGTAAACTATCATGGTTAATTCCAGATGAATTCATCATGATGGGCTAACTGGCCTGTTTTCATCCTCATCTATCACCCTTCACTGGCGCCCCATCAGCGTATCCCATTAGCGCAGGCGGGGTTACAATTCCATTTTCATCCAATAATAAAAAAAAATCTACTAAAAACTAAAGCACTAAACAAATTTTGATAAAATTTCTTTGGGATTAATTTGTAAATAAATTCTTACAGATAAAAAAATATCCAAATAGGGTTTAGAACTGGCAAAGTTATGACGTAATAAACATATAAAAAAAACCCTCCTTTTTTAATTCCGTTGAAAATTAGAGAATCATGAATCATATGTGATTATTTTAGATCATTCTTTCTTTTTTTTTTATACAACTTAGAATGGCGAACAAGCTGACGGCCCACCTGATGGAAAGTGGTAACCGTCGCCTATGACATGAGCAGTACCATGGACATAACAGAGTATACTGTTTCGCCCATGATACCCCTCATGCGTTGCCATTTCTGAGGACTTAGGTGTTATTCCTCTGTACACTGTAAATTCACGCCATATCCCACCCTTCAAATTGAAACACAGCCATGCAAACACAACTGCTTTACGGTTGAAACACTATTAATATATTAATGGGGAGGTACCCCACGTGTTCCCATACCTGAGGACTCAGGATCTGAATTAAAATTCTCTCTATCTCTTTCACTTTTACTTAAATGGTGATATTACACTTTGCAAATAAACATGTAACATTAATACTTAAAACTTCTTTTATTGAATTATTAATTTTCTAATGTAATATAAATATATTTTATATTATTATAAATTCTAATAGGTGCATAAATATTTAACATTTTTTTTTTACTTCTAGATATAATGATTAAATATTTCTAATTAAATATAATTAAATTGCATTTTGTTTTACATTTATGCAACCCTATATTTGATGTCGCGTTAATATTCTGCCATATAACGTCTGTAATATAATGTCTCTGTCTGTATGTCATAGTGTTTCGTATGTTCACTGCATTGGATCCCACTCCGTCTCTGATAGTCGTTTCAAAAAAGTCTGCAATTATATAAACGTGCCGTTATTATATATTATTATTTCAGCCGTTAACTATGCCATACACACTGCCATAGTCCTATCGTATTTTGCTAGTAGTTGCCACGCTTGGCAAGCGAATTGGCAAACGCTTCTTTTGGTGATGTTTTAAAAGAGACGCCACTGCCCATCCCTCGACCATTAAGTTATTTTAGTTGCCTCTTACGACACCCATGGGTATGGTTGGGGTGATCCATTCTACGCCGGGACCACATGGCAATTATTACGTTACTAAACATGTATAATTTTTTTGTTAAACATGTTTAACTTCCAAACGAGGCATCTTCAGGCAAATTAATAGATTGCTGCTCGGAGCTTAGAAATTTTCGCAAAATATGCGTGGACTGAATAGCGGTCGGAGATTGATGGCGAATATGGTTATAGAACTTCTGGTAATAGTAATAGAAGTCAATCTTCGAGTGTTGGCAATCGACAGACATCTCTCTCTTCTCTCTTTAATTAAATCATTATAACCTTCAAGATAAAAGCATATTCCTTTTTAAAAGGCCGGCAGCACACCTTTTTTTTACTACACAGGGGGCAAACGAGCATGCGGCTCACCTGATGGTAAGTGACTACCGCCGCCCATGATCACCCACAACACCAACGGCATTGCAGGTGTGCTGCTGGCCTTTTAAAAAGGAATATGCTCTTTTCTTGACGATTGGTTGATGATTACCTGCAATGCCTCTGGTATAGTGAGTGATCATGGGCGACGGTAGTCACTTACCATCAGGTGAGTCGCATGCCCGTTTGCCCCCGGTGTTATAAAAAAAAAACAAACAAACCAGTGATATGGACTTCCCCAAATAAACACTTAGTTCAGTAAAATATTTATAAATGTTGTTCATATTTATAGGCGACAGTTACCACTTTCCATCAGACGGGCCGTCAGCTTGTTTGCCGTTCTAAGTTGCATATAAAAGAAACCTAAGTTATCTACGTATTCACCTGTAAATCCTCACCACCGTAACTACGAAGCTTCGACTTTCGTTTCTCAGGTTGGAGACTTATTGTATTTTGTTTAATATTCTTTTTTTCCTTCGTATCCACTATAATTCCTTTATCATTTGGCCTTGAACCTATCGGGGTTGCATCATCATTCTCATCATCCAAATTATAATCAAATAAGTCATCATAATCGTCCATTCTTTCTTTCTCCTTCGAATTCAATGACAGTCCATCACGTATCTCCCTCGTTATTTGTTCGTCGTCGAATCGCTTGTTTGTGTGACTAATTATCCATTCGGGGTTCGATCCTTTGCCATTTGACTGCGAACCAGTCGGGCATTTACAATAAATAGGTTTTAGTCTATGTACAATTTTTGATCCCGTCACATGGTTGACAACCCTGGAATAATTTTAATAAGTGATTATTTTTTATATATATTGTTAGGATTGCTGGTGTTGTTAGGGTTGCCACGTTTACGTAGTGCGCCCATAGAGTTTGCAGCAGCGTCGACAGATGACTTCTATGGCATCAGACGCAAACGGATGGCGTCTTTGTTACACCAACTGCGTGGCAACAGTAACAGTATTCTGGGGGCATTATCTAATAAAATGACAGCCCGATCTTCTAATTGTGGGTCAAAAGTATTACAGGGATCATAAAATGATTTGTTTTGATTTTACTATCATCATGATATCAGCTTTTAACTGTCCACTGCTGAACATAAGCCTCCCCCATTTGCCAGTAGTTGCCACGCTTGGCAGGCGGATTGGCAACCGCAGTTACTCTGTGAAGCAGTTGTGTTTACATGGCTGTGTCTTGGTTTGAAGGATGGGATATGGCGTGAGTTTACTTGGTACAGAGGAATAACACCTAAGTCCTCAGGAATGGCAACGCATGGAGGGTATCATGGGCGAAACAGTATACTCTGTTATGCCCATGGTACTACTCATGTCTATAGGCGACGGTTACCACTTTCCATCAGGTGGGCCGTCAGCTTGTTTGCGATTCTAAGTTGCATAAAAAAACCTTTCTATGGATAAAAAAATAATCGTTATAACTATTTATACAACTATTCTATAATAAATATTAAAAATGTTGTTCAAAATTCGTCATCGCAGTTAGAAATTGGGATACCTATGTTTCTAACTAACCCACCGTCGACGGGAAACACCGATCACAAACCAAATGAATGAAACTGTCGATAGTAAGCTAGCCCCTGCCATGAATAATTTTAATACACCACAACCGTGCAATTACAAATGTCTCTGACTACCCCAATAAGGATTACAGTCGTGAGAATATTTTTTTTTTAATTATAAAGGAGCTAAATACTTACAAGTATGATATAAAAATTGCAATAATAAAGTTAAACAATCGTGAAACCATTATAACTACTTCAAATGTCCACAAACGCCACTACAGTGATCTCCATTTAGAAATTCCCTGTTTTATATCATTATAAATGTCCCATAAAGATGCTAATATTATTCAAATTGTACAATTGTTATTCAATTATTTATAGCGAATTAAGGATTTGACGTTAATTTGACAAGATATTAATTTGGTAGGGTACGTCTTTTTTTTATACAACTTAGAATAGCAAACAAGCTGACGGCCCACTTAACGGAAAGTGGTAACCATCGCCTATAGACATGAGTAGTATCATGGACATAACAGAGTATATACTGTTTCGCCCATGATACACCCGATGCGTTGCCATTCCTGAGGACTCAGGTGTTATTCCTCTGTACCCTGTAAATTCACTGCCATGTCCCACCCTTCAAGCCGAAACACAGTCATGCAAACACAACTGCTTCACGGTAAAAACATGAATGGGACAGAGGTACCCAAGCAAACGACTATTGTACAAAGTCTCGTGCGGGTAAACGGGTAAACGGAATGATAATGGAATGGTAACCCTGTCTGCGCTATCGGTATACACTATACGAGACACCAATGAGGGCGATTCGTGAGGATGAAAGCAGAGGGCCTACCATGAAATGAAATTCCGAAGTTTCGAACACAATTTCGTGTTTTAGTTTATACCTAAATTGGCCCAGTAAATGGAGCTTAACATTTCGTTCGTCATAAATACTACCATTAAAGTCCAAAGGAATAATATTTTACTATTTTTAATGTTTTTAAACGGTAAGTATTATGTAATTTTAACATCAAATTTGTGTTTTGTTCGGCATCGAAATTTCGGAAAACATTTCATGGTAGGCCCTCAGGTCAGTGTGTCAGTCATCGTGACGTGACAATTCACATGAATTAACCACGATAGTTTTCCGGAGGAACCGCGTGGAGGTCGACCTGATAGCGTATATTACTAGCAATGGAGATTATAGATCCTCATTCTTAACAATCCCTTCCCCAAAAAGAATAGGTATTACACACTTTAAGATTACTACATACATAACTAATGCATTTTAACATACTGTACATTAGCTGCATCCTGTAAGTTTTTTTTTGATGGGTGAAAATGGTATGGTAACCCCGCCTGCGCTAACGGGATACGCTGGCGGAGCACCAGTGAAGGGTGATAGATGAGAATGAAAACAGGCCAGTTAGCCCATCATGATGAATTCATCAGGAATTAACCATGATAGTTTCCAGGGGCAATCGCGAGGAGGTCGACCTGGTTGGGTATATTGCTAGCAATGGGATTCTCAGTCTCCATTACTAACAATCCCTTTCCCCCCGCTTATAGGGGGTTATCATTTACCATCAGGTTGGCCGTCAGCTAATCGAATTATAACTATTTTATTAATTGTTTATTTGTAAATTTAAACTTGTTTTGTTATTTTATCAGCTTTAGATTTTAAAATACTAGCTAGTTTAATTTTAACTGAAAATATATAGCTTGACATAGAGAAGCTATACTACTACTTACTACTGTTATAAATCTGAAAGTAAGTTTGTTTATTTGTTTGTTATAGGGCCTTAACGGCTTAACCAGATGGGAAAGGAATTGTTAGTAATGGATTCTAACAGCCCCATTGCTTATTATATACTCTATTAGGTCGATCTCCACGCGGTTCCGCTTGGAAACCGTCGTGGTTAATTCTTATAGAATTTTTTTCAATAGGAAAATTGCTCTGCCTTCATTTTCACCTATTATTTACCACTACGGGACCCGACACATCCGTTACACCTATTGAAAAAATGGCTAAAAATTATTAATATATTAATAACTAAATAAACCAATCAATATGAAATTGAATATATACGTACTATACGAAATGGAGAAGGATTTAGGCTACTTTTTATCCTGGTTAATAAACATATCCGGAAACATACCCGGATCAGGACTTAATAAAAACGAAATAAAATTAAATTAAACTTAAAAAAATATGGCCGAATAGCTATAATCTTTTGCCTTAACTAAACATAAAAAAAACTAACGGTGTTGCTATTTTATTATATTTCTTCTAAATAATAGAAGTTCAATTAAGTGTTGCAGTTGAGCCAAGTTTTAAACTATTTGGATTTATTTCCACCAATATTTTTAAATTTAAGGGGTACTAAATAGTTAAATAGATGTTTTGTGAATAATAAACGGCTCAGTTTGTGTTTAAATATATACTAAGCATATCTATTTAAGAACATTATATTAAACAATCACATCGTATAAACATTTTTCATGATTGACTGATTAATTTTGATATATTTTATCATATTAAAAACTGAATAATTTGTTTTTTTCCTATTCAAAATTTTGATACATACAACTACAGTTATATTTTTCATTTTCATTGTTTTTAAACGATCTCAAATCATAAGTATTTTTTTTTATATAAATATTAAACTTTCGTAATCGATAATGTTTACCCTTATATCGATATTTTAATTTTATTATATAAGGCCAATATAAATAATTTTAAATCTATTATTACACTCCTTCATATTTTTTTATTATTATGTATTTAATGAAAAAATATATAATAAATTGCACAATTTATTATTTAATCGAATCAGTTCAAGACGTAAAAAGTAAGTTTATGTTTTATGCCCATTTTATTCCTATTAGAAATTTATTACAATCACCTTAAACTTAAATTAAATACTTACAAATTTACACAGCAGATTATTTTATTTTGATTTCATGTAAAGTAAATTTAAATATAAAGTAATGAAAAGACATAAAAACAAAATAACAGAGGAACATCGAATTATAAAGCAATTACGGCTTAATTCTTTACGCTTTGATATTTTTTTGTAATTTTTTTTATTTAATCAACCAAAATATTTACAATCGCGTTACAGGCAAGAATTACAAAAATTAAAGAATGTAAGTTGGTATCTAAATAGCATGTATGTTTAAATAGACGAATTGCACAACGAATTAAAAAAAAATGATAAAATAGTAGCTAGATACAAATGAATACATAAAAATTGTAGATAAAGAAATTTCGCAGTTAGATTAGGTAAATCTTAAAAATTAGGTAGAATTTACTTAATTATTTTCTACTACATTTATGATAATGACAACACTATCTTGTCGAAGTCAGTCAGTTATCAGTCACAGTCAGTCAGTTCATTTAGTGTGCTTATTTATTTCGGTTCGGTTTGTTGCGCTTCGATTTGTTTTGTTTACTTTTTTAATTATGATTAATATGTGTTTTTTTTTTGTTTAATAATGTAAATTAAACTTGATGGTGATTTAAAATTCATTTTGTGTTGTGTTTGCTTGTGATAAATACTAATTCATTTAAAACGATAAACACAGTTTTCATCGAACAAGTCATCTTAAGTTTAACTTGTCGTTTTGCGTGATTATTTTTGCTTTGCAGTGTGTTTTTTGACATTGTTTTTAGGAGTAATTTTCTACATTACCAGTGGAATACAGGTGAGTGTTCGCAGTATGTTTTGTAACGTATTTCAAAAGATTTTTTTTACGGTGTTCATTACCAAATAAGATGGGTGGATTTGCCATGAATGGTATCATTGCGAAATGTTTTTGTCCAGACGGCAGATTGACCTCGATATGAGCTCGAAATTTCTTGTAGATGCAACTTTTACAAGTCTGTCTAGATGCATTGAGTCTAGATAGATTGTAAGTAATTAAAAAAAAAAGAATTTACTAATAGTAATTTTTGCTATGCGAAAAATATTCCTAAATATATTACTTATTTTGTCTCCAACAAATTATAATTTAAACTAAGCATTAAATATTGTAAACAGTGATCAGTAGGTACCATTAGATGCCAGTCAACATATTATGAATTAAATGTACTTATATTTTTTTTCTAAATATAATGATAAAATGTTTGCAAACTAAAAACATGCTATTGGATTCCTTAAACTATGCTTTAATATGAATTAGCATGCTCATACTTGATTCTCAATAGTCATGTTGTATCAAGAATAAACATCTTATAGGATTATCATTACTAATTATATTGAATCATAAATTGAAAAAAATAAAAAAAATATATTCACCAGAACTTAATATAAATATATAAAAATTGAAAAAGTAATTGACCGTCCAATAGGAGTACAAATAATTTTATTCTGGGGTGAATTTGTGATAATTTTAATAAACCCCTGTGGGTAGCTACAGACCAAAATTTCATTACCCTTTTCTATACCCCTATCTATACATATCAACAACAACAACTACCTCTAAGGATATCCATTGACTAAAAAAGATTATATAATTTATATTCTTTATAAAATTAGTACATTAAACTAATATCAATAGTGAACTTATTTAAATAAAAAAAAAATTGTATAGACTGAGTTATATACATAAAAAAATATGTTGAAGTTGATAATCTCCTCTTTTTGTAGTTGGTTAAAAAAACTAACTTTAAAAGTTTTTTTTACAAATAAATTATAGTATATATATATTACATTAATAAATAAGCTACTTTATAATTAGAAAAAATAAATAAATAATAAAGTATGATTATGATAAACCATAATCATACTTTATTATTTATTTATTTTTTCTAACAAATTATATGTATCTAACAAAATATATACCAACAAAGTCTTTGAATTAAAAAAAAATAGTTTGTTTATTTGTGATACTTTATTGTACAGTAAAATCTTAAATTATAGGATACAGAGTTCTTAAGAAGATTTATAAATACAATAGTGGACATATCCCATATAGAGGATATCTTCTATCAACCTTTGAATCATCATCATGATGTAAGCTGTTAACTGTCCATTACTGAATATAGGTCTCCCCCATTAAGGAAGGTATTGCCAGTAGTTGCCACAATTGGCAGGTAGTTTGGCAGCCATAATTAGGCTTTGAACCTTTGAATTTGTTTGAATGTCAATGTCGCCATAATTTTCTTATTAGAAATGGATGTTAGAACATTTCAAACAGGAAATTCTTGATGTCAGCTGATGACTCATATGTTAAATAAACAGTTAAAATGCAGAAATGTAGACACTTTCATTTAGTTATGTAGTTGTTAACACATTGGGTGCATAGGTAAATTTGAATGTAATTTAAATGGAATATTATATAAAATAAATTATTATGTCTAGAAAAAAAACAAGATATGTTTTTTTATAGGGTTTCTACAATAAAAATGTACACAGTTCATATATATATTTATACATGCGTAGCTGTGATTTATATTTATTTTATATAATATATTGTATGCTTATATAGCATAGCATATAAAGACATTTGTATTCATGTTTATATCTTTCATAAGAAATCAACAAAATATTTAGTAACTAACTATTTCTTATAGCTTTGCCTGCACATATCAGTTTATAAAGATTCTACAATATAATCTACCCATATCTCATTTAAATCCATTCAGCTACAATATGCAGTTTATTCCACACTTATAGTCCATATAAACAGACAGCCTTTACTATTCTTAATTTATGTAACTGCTTCATAAAAATCTCCATTTATTTATTTTTATTTTAAAAATCTTGTATAGTTACTAATTTTAGTTATTGAAGTTCTTTGCTTTGCTGTTTTACTATTGATTTTTATCTTTTTATATCTATGCTGTAAAGGCATCGTAAGACTCCTACTATCGCTATCTATCTATCGCTACTAATATACCTTATCGGGCCCACCTACACATGGTTTCCCCTGGACACCATCATGTTTGATAATTATTGAATTCTTCACAATTGTCCAACTGACATGCTACCATCTTCACCTATCATCTTTCACTGGTGTCCCTCCATCATATACCGAATGCGCAAACGGGACTATCATTCCATTATCACCCATTAAAAAAAAAACAAATTAGACTCAGGAAAAGGAAAGAGATTATAAATAGATAAATATTATAATTGAATAGAAAAATCCTATTAATAAATGTCTAAACCAGTGATTCTCAACCACTGTGCCGCGGCACTTTTGTGTGCCGCCAAATTTTGAAATCGTTAAATATGTGCCGCAACAAAAAAAAAAAAAAGGTTTAGAGTCACTGGTCTAAACTCTAAACGAACTTGGATTGTCGTTATCATGCTTCCGTGTCTGTGAGTGACATAGATATATAGATTAAATAAAAGTATGGCATATTTCATTGTTTTCTCTACATCAATAATATAGCAGTTAGGGTTGCCAACTACAGTGTTATTATATTTCTTTTTTAAAAATACTAACTAGTATTGTAATTGTGAAACTGAGGTTTTGTTTGTTTGTTTATTACCTCTTAGTGCTTTAATGGTGCAATTACTATTAAATTTGGTATACCAATAACACAAGCGGGGTTTAATTAAAATATAAATCCCGTCTGCGCTAATTCGCTGGAGGAGCACCAGTTTTGATGGGTGAAAATGGTATGGTAACCCCGCCTGCGCTAATGGGATACGCCGGCGGAGCACCAGTGAAGGGTGATAGATGAGAATGAAAACAGGCCAGTTAGCCCATCATGATGAATTCATCAGGAATTAACCATGATATTTTCCAGGGGGAACCGCGAGGAGGTCGACCTGGTTGGGTATATTGCTAGCAATAGGATTCTCAGTCTCCAATACTAACAATCCCTTTCCCCCCTAAGGAGGAGCACCAGTGAAGGATGATAGGTGAGAATGAAAGCAGGCCCCTCGTGACAATAATTAACTACGATGGTTTCCAGGGGTAACCACGTGGAGGTCAATACAAATAGATATAAATATTCATGAATTCAAACGTTTGTATTATGCAGGTCTTGAACCCATAACTGTCGAAATATGAAGCAATGTGTTAAACCGTTACACTACACTGTTTGTCTAAATTAACATCAAATATAAAATAAATATTTTGCAACAAGTCGGCAACCCTAGTCGCAGGTCCACGATTCACGTAACATCAAAGACGTTCACACGGTATTCGGTGAAAACATAATGCAAGTGGTTTTTATCTAACTGTATGTACATCGGTTTGAAATAAACTTAATTTTCTAACGAGGTGGCAACCCTAGTCGCCAGTAATAACCGGCAATAACTCATGATTCACGCAGCATCAAAGACATTCACACGATATACGGTGGAAGCGAGTGGGAGCGATTTTTATGGCGCGCAAACGCCACATGTGTATCTAGGACGCTCGCGCCGGCCAGGATGCAACGACCAAATATAAATTTGTATAGGAAACACTCATTTCTGTGGCGGCGGTTAATTTTTGACCGATTTCAAAAAAGGAGGTTGTTATCGACTGTCGACTTTGTGTGACATTTCACCAGATGGAGACTGTACAAAAGTCGTTTGCTTGGGTACCTCTGTTCCATTCGTGTTTATTGCTTAGAAGCAGCTGTGTTTCCGTTTGAAGGATGGGATATGGTAGTGAATTTACAGGGTACAGTGGTTTAACACCTTATTCTTCAGGAATGGCAACACATGAGGGGGTATCATGGGTGAAACAGTATTCTCTGTTATATCCATGGTACTGTTCATGTCTATAGGCGACGGTTACCACTTTCCATCAAGTGGGTCGTCAGCTTGTTTAGCATTCTGAGTAGCATAAAAAATCGATTTTGGTCATTGTTTTTTAGTAAATAAAAAACCCTAAGGGGATTGTTAGTACTTGGGGATTAGAGAATTACTAGTAATATATGAATACCCTTTCGGGTCGACCTCCACGCGGTGCCCTCTGGAAACAGTCGTAATTAATTCCTGCCGAATGCGTCACGGCGGGCCAACCTTAGCTTCACTTCTTGTCATCTTCACCCATTATTATATTTTCATCCATAAACAAATGTAAAATGAACAGATTTTTTTGTGTAACATTTACATAAACCGATTTTGCTGTTTACTTTTTTGTATCTAACAATCACCGCGCGTGGAACTAGAACACGCACACCGGCAAAGGTGCAACGACCAAATATAAACTTGTAGAGGAAACGCTCATATCCGTGGCGGAGTTTGATTCTTGACCGATATCAAAAAGCATATATTTTTATTTAACTTATAATGACAAACAAGCTTACGGCCCACCTGATGGAATATGCTAACCGTCGTCGACATAAATAGCACTATAGTCATAGAATACACTGTGATGCTCATGGTAACCCTCATGCATTGGGGGGAAAGGGATTGTTAGTAATGGAGACTAGAAATCCCATTGCTAGCAATATACCCAACCAGGTCGACCTCCTCGCGGTTCCCCCTGGAAACTATCATGGTTAATTCCTGATGAATTCATCATGATAGGCTAACTGGCTTGTTTTCATTGTCATCGATCACCCTTCACTGGTGCTCCGTCAGCGTATCCCGTTAGCGCAGGCGGGGTTACCATACCATTTTCATCCACCAAAAAAAAACCCTCATGCATTGTCATTCCTGAGGATTATGGTGTTATGTCTCATCAACATCATATCAGCCTTTAACTGTCCACTCCTAAACATAAGCCTCCCCCTTGGGGGGTTTTGGCAGTAG